ACACCCAGAAGGAGGAGCTGCAAGTCAAAGTCTATCGCTGCGAGGACATCGCTTCAGCGCGGAAGAACCGCTCTGACCCGTAAGTGACGGTGAATGTGCATCTTGCAGCAACAATGTCCCATACCTAATCAATCAAAAAGTGTCTGTGTGTGCATTTTACAGATATGTTAAAACCTATCTCCTGCCGGACAAGTCGAGTCACAGCAAGAAGAAAACTGCAGTGAGGAAGAAGACATTGGACCCAGTGTTTGATCAGACGCTCAGAGTGAGACACTCATTTACATATTGCATTCAGTGGCAGCCTTCACAGAAATCCCCCATTAGCCATCTGTCTCTCAGCTCTTCTCCAAGTGTCCTGCAACATGCACTGCAGACGCTTAACTCTGCAGTCACAAATACCTCTTATCAATAAATTACCAGATTTAAATATACATCCTAGGGGACAGAGAACCTGCTGTGCTTTATCTTGCAGTTGCCTCTCCGCCTAAATCTTGTCCTCTCTCTTATAGTATAAAGTACGGGTTGGAGAGCTACGGAGCCGGACCTTGAACCTCTCCGTGTGGCATGCCGAGCCCCTGGGCAGGAACGTGTTTCTGGGGGAGGTGGAGATGTCTCTGAGCCACTGGGACTGGACCTCCTCTCTGCCACTTTGGCAGGACCTGCAGCCAAGGGTAGAGAAGAGCGCAGAATGATTTGAATGCAAATAGACAGTCATGCAGTCACATAAGTCTGTTTGAATTCTCCCAGTACAATATTTACCTAAACACTATAATGTCTGCATCTAGATTTCTTTAGTAGAGTGTATGGAAATGCACACTTGGTTGCAGACACAGAGTACAGGGAGGAGTGTCTCTTGTGTCTGGGAGAGCTGAAGGGAGGCATGCTGTGAATTTCAACTAAGGTTTTATGTAAGCTTAATCTTTTCCTTCTTCCACACGTCTGCCTCTCTCCCCTGGCTTTTTCTTTCTCCTTCTTTCTTTGTCTTTTTTCTGCCTTTTATCTTTTACTATTTTCTACCTCCCCTACATCCCCACACCACAGGTTAATTTGAATCCAGACTCTATTAGCAGTCGCGGGACCCTCCTGCTCTCTATAAAGTTCATCCCAGACGGATATGAGGGTGAGCACAGCACACACTTCAGGAATGCAAGTGATGTCCCACCTTAATCACACATCTTGTGTTTGTGTGTGGGTGTGGTGTGTGTGTGTGGGTGTGAAGGTGGTGGACTGCCTCTGACAGGAGAGCTTCACATCTGGCTTCGGGAGGCTCAAGGTCTCCTGGCAAACAAAGGCGGCGTCATAGACTCTTTTGTCAGGAGGTACGTCAGCTCGGCAACATTTTTCCCGATATTTTGTCATCAGGGATTGATCCTGGCAACAGTTTTGACTTGAAAAAATTATAGATGTTACATTCTCCAACTTTACAGGCACAGTTATTACCATGGTTATTTCGTTTTTCTCATATCAAACCGAATTTTAACATGGATTGACGGTTTCATTTACAAGCTGTTCAACTATTTATAAGGTCCTTTATATCCAAACAATTCAACTTGAAAGGATTTAAATTATAAAGTAAAGTTTACAAAAGGTAAAAAAACCCAAGCCTAACTGGATAGGATTGTATCCATATCATTTATTTAACAAAAAGAGGCCATAGAGTACTCGAGGGTATTGGGTGCAGTCGTTATTTGTGAGTACAGTATATGAGTCTTTATCTTAATCCCAATGCTCCCTAATTTTCTCCATCATTGGTGTCCATCTCTCTATTAAAAAATCCTTTTTGTAAGCATTAAGGTAATTAGGTGGGACGATCTTTAAGCCATCATGTTGTAATTCATTAATTTGGTTCTTTCTTTAATATCTGTAAAATGTACATCCTTTTAAAACATTTTTTAAAAGTAAATTACATACAGTTTATATCAAAGAATTGCAATTCATATTTATTAAATGTGTAAATGTAGAGTTTTTAACACGCACACATCCTGCATACAACATAAACAAAGCCTAATTCAATTCAAACACTTCCATAGTCCTGGTTTGAATCTGAATGTAATTGTCTAATTTTCATAATCTAATCCCCACAAGCTACATACTCCCAGATGCCAGTCGGCAGAGTGGTCAGAAGACGCGGTTGATAAAGCGCTCCTTCAACCCGACCTACAACCACACCATGGTGTACGACGGCTTCCACTCCAGCGACCTGAGAGAAGCCTGCGCAGAACTCACTGTCTGGCAGCGCGATGGCTTAAAGCCGTGGGTCCTGGGGGGGGTTCGTCTGAGCTGTGGAACTGGTGGGTGTCGCTTCACTTAATCACATCTACACTAATGCACCAAATTAAAATCATAACAATTATTTCTCTGCAGATATTGGACTATTAACTTGTTTGGCTGGGTGTTTTACTGTTTCAGTGCCCTATATTGCTCATTTTCAGGTTTCATATTTGTATTTTGTGCCTCTACTGTGACATGTTTACATGTTTAAAATTGTTCTCATACTGCCTGTGCTGCAGCACCTCTTTTCACCCTCTGTCTAAAACCAGAGCCCATTCTGATTGGTCAACAGCTTAGAGATGTCCTGCCCCTTAGCCTATCAAGTGCAATGTGTTGGTATGCTAGCTAATAGAAGCGCAAGTGTTACATAGTGATGTCACTATGTTATGGAAGTAAACAAAGGACAACAATGGAGGCGTTTCAGGCAGGTGGGGGGGGGATGTGTGGGAGAGAAAGTTTGGGATTTTAGCCTTGCAGACCATTAACATGCACAAAAACTTTTATAACATACTACAGTCAAAGGCAAAACCCAAAAAGCATAATAGGGCCTCTTTTTAAAAGCGTGCTCATTGGTCAGGGCTCTTTCTAGTTTGAGTGCAGGGATGATATAATAAGCGATCAGATAGGGAACAAAGCAGATTCTCGTTCTGAAAGCAGCAGTCGGTGTTGGTGATTACGGACAGTGTTTGTTCTCCTGTGCTGCAGGCCGTGTGGAGCCTGGGCTAAAGGGAGGATCTTATCTCATCCCTTATCAAGTCACACTCAGTTCCGAGCCTTTGTTTGGCAGTGTGCTTTTTTAATTAAATCACTCGTGTTTATCATAGGCTGTCTTCTATGAGTCAACACAGGTGACTGGAGGCTCCCTAATATCAAAAGTTTTGCAAGGTTATGAATAAAGCTCGAGAATTTGCCGTCCAAATGTAACTTTTCAAAGCTGTGATTAAAAATGAAATGATATCTCACGATATCACTTGATATTTATTAGGCTTGTAGGAGGGAACCAGCTTCAGTGTCAGGGGATGAGACATTAAAGAGGTGTTTGGTTGGTTTCATTTATGGTCATCTTTGAGGACTGTGCCGTAAATCTGTTTTTGCTTCATCTCCAGTGTTGATTTGGAGTGGTGTAGTGTAGATGTGTTTTTCCTTCCACTGCTTCACATTGCAATGCATTTTGTCCGGTTGGCATTTCAGGCATTTCAGATGGTCGTGTCAGCAGAGAGAGCTCATTTCTAGGTAAGCATTGTTACTGTGCAAAGTTAAATAAGTGGAAAACAATTGTGTTTTCTGATCATTTAGTTGTTGAGAAGTCGTTTTTGATAGTGTTCTTTTACTCAGTTGGTGCTTAATAGGGAGTGTGTCGAAATCACCACTGATAAAACGTTGGCTCTGTGGGAAGTGACTTTTATGATGAAGTTTTGCTTGTTGTGTACACACTTTTAACAGTTGATGCATTAAGAGGGCAGGGCCTACTTAGAGTTTTGGGATTGTTAGGTTTCACTAGGGCTGAACAACATCAAATAAAGACATTGTTGTGATTTGGTCATTTTCCAAATCGCATGAGGTGCAATATTTGTTAAAGGCACATTATGTCGAAATACCTTTCTGACTTCAGTATTCTGGTTTCCGCAGATATATAAAAGCTTTAAAATATGTTCTATTGACTTGAAGAAAAAAGATTCACTGTACATAGGCTACTGTTGCAAAAAACGAACAATAATAATTTATATATATTTTCCAATGAAAATGAGAATGATGATATACAAATTATAATTCCCTCCAATATTGTGAATCATATTGCAGTTTAACATCAAAATATTTGCAATGAGATTGTTTTTTCAAACCCTTCAGTCGTGGTTGTTGCTACTTTCAGCTATAGCGGTATATGTGAATACATTACTGCGGTGTGGGGATTGTTTCCTCGGCCTCATTAAGAAAGGCATCATTTCTCTTTGTTCCGATTGCGGTGAGGATTTCTGTGGTAACGTCTTAACATAAATAATAAATAATTCTGTGTGCTTTTGTATTAGGTCAGAGTTATGGGGAGGCTGTTAGCTGGATGGATTCCACAGAAGAGGAGACCGCATTGTGGACCTCCATGATTGACAACCCAAACCACTGGGTCGACGCACCACTATCAATCAGAACTAACCTCGCACCCCGGTCCTAGTGACCCAGAGTCAGACACGCCCTGCTCACACACACACACAAATAATGGCTGGACTGAAAAAAAGACACCCCTCCGCACATTTAACCTCTCTGTCACACACAAATGGAAGCCATAGTAGTGCAATATTGTGAATTAGTGGCGTAGATCTGAAATATTTAGTTTTAAAACCAAATCTATCTTCATTTAAAATGTTTTATTTGTATGTTTTTGGTTCAGTGTGTGACAAAAGTGTTGTAATCAGATGTAGTTTATTAATTAAATATCAAACCTGAACTGATGAATCACCCAGTGGTCTTATTTGCATATATCGAGTGAATGTGAGATCACATTGGCATCAAATAAACCAAAAAGCGAATACACAGACCAGGACAAATATAAACCAACAAATATAATAAATTAAAAAATAGTTACAAAAACAGTAAGTTAAAAATAGCCATGTATTTATATCATGTTGTTTCCCAGACCTCTAAAACTATTTGAGCATGTTAGAAAAATAGGCCCTAATCGCCTAATAAGAAACATCTATTCTTATTCAGGCAATTGTAATTATTAGTTATTCAGCTCTCATTGCTTTAATTGGGCAGGGTAGAAAAGGAAAGGCCTGCAGTTGCATGAATATTCTTTACTTTTGGATGGATTACATGACTGCCACCTTGTGGTCAGACTTTATACTTACTCAATATAGTTTTCAGGTAATTTACAAGGAGGACAATGAAGAATAGGGTAAATATAACAAGGCCAGTGTTGTAATGTCTCCTATTTTTTAACATAAAACAAACTGTTCTCCATCCATCCTCCCATGTATCAACAGACAGTGGATTAAGGCATTTACCATATAAATCACAACTCCTGTCCAGCAGATGGCGATATTAACTTCCCTGCTTCAACCTATTATGAGATCGGAAGTGTCGGCTTTTCAAAATAAAGTATCGTCAAGGTGATTGTCTTTGGTGAATTAATCCTACGCATAGTTCATGGATTACAGCCTTTGGTGGTTATAGATAGGCCCATCAGTGCTCTTAGGATCATGACATTTTAATTGATCATTTCAATGTTACAAACTGACAGTGCTTGTTAGTGGTTATTGTTAATAACCACATAACTGGTTATGTCGGTTATTAACCAACATACAATGTCGTATACTTTTTCATCGACATCCCTAGTTTCATTTAAACAGTTTTCAAGCCCTGTTTGTAATTGGAAACGTTCATGTGCAACTAAGTATACTTTTATTTTGAAATTAGCAACCGGGTGTAGTTCCCCTTTATTTCCGTGTAGCTTTTTGAGCTGTCACAAGTTTTACACAAAGGGAACACCGGTGGACTGCGCGCTGTAGTTGAGGGTTGAACGTGGATTAAAATGTCTGAAATGCAGCTGCTGAGGCTGTTCATCAGTGAGAGGCTGAGTGTGGCTGCAGAGGAGATCTTCTCCGCGGTGCAGAGGAGCATATCTGAGCAGAGATCTCATCAAGACGGTGACCACCGGCATGGACTCAAACCGGAAGTGCAATCACTCAATAGAGGTGTGTTTGGTTTCTGTTTTCAAATGCTCAAGCAGTCTTAAAGACGGTATAACGTTACACAGGTGTGATACATGTCCACCCCACTCACCTTATGAGGGTTGGCTTGATAACAGAAACACATATTGCTATAAAGTTCAACAGCACCAAAGACTATTACATGAATTTAGGTATTAAAAGGGTCATGATCATGATGTTGTGTAATGCCAAAGTCTTTGTCCCTGATTTAAAAAGTGCTCTGTCAAATATAATATATTAAAAGATATTATTGCAGCCCTAATACAAGGTGGGAGATGACATGCTACAAACTCAAACAACTTTTAATTGCATGCATTTTAAAACACTCAGACAGCAGTTCGAAGACAAGCCAGAGAAAAAAACTTCAAGAATTATGGAAGTATAAAGTCTTGGAAGTGGACTCTCCTTATAGCTTACTTTTCTTCATTACAACAAGACAGGATAATATAATGCTGAAATAAAACTGTAATCCACAAATACAATTTCTCTTTTTTCCTCTTAGCAGAGACGCCACATGGATTTATCAGTGCATATGTGCAGACACACCATGAAACGGATTGGAGTCCAAAGAGCTGCCACAACGACCCCAGTGTGAAACAGGAGGAGTGTGGCCTGCTGGTCCCAGACCCTCCAGCTATCAAACAGGAAGAGCCATGGAGCAGTCCAGAGGGAGAACAGCTACCAGACATGGAGGACACCAGCACTTTGAAAGTGACGCCCACCTTCATTTACTCAGCCATGACTGAGTTACAAACTCATGACACAGGACATGAAGACAGAAAGCCTGTACTTAAAACTTCAGCTGACCGCCGAGAGATTGAAGGAAACGCACAGTCAAGCAGTGAATGTTGGAATAATTTGCCAGATCGTTCTGTAACTGTGAATAACATGGGGCCTACGCAGGGTTTAGCAACAGTGACAGAGTACAGTATCGGAAACATCCACACGCAGAGCCCAACAGGGAAAAAACAGTGGACTAAAAGTTGTGAACCAAACAGCTCAACTTCATCAAAAAAAGAGACAAATACAAGCCAATCATACTGCTGCAGTTTCTGTGGCAAAGAATTCAGGCGAAGTACACACCTTGCCATGCACACTCAAATCCACACTGGTGAGACGATGTACGTCTGTGAGTTGTGTGGTAAAGAGTTTCGACATGGCAACAGTCTGACTGCGCACATGAGGATTCACTCGGAGGACAGGCCACACAGATGCAGGATTTGTGGAAAAGAGTTCCGCCATGTTGGTAACTTGAACGTCCACACGAGAATCCACACAGGAGAGAAACCCTACACCTGCACCGTGTGTGGAAAGAAGTTCAGTCGGAATAATGTAATGACAAAACACATGGAAGATGTTCACTTGGCATGACTTAATGAGAGTTAAGCAGAATATCCACTTTTCTGTAAATCTGTTCTTACTGTATGAAATGGTAATGCTATAAAGTAAAACATGGTAGAAATGGCTCATGATAGGCGGATTTTGCGGGGAGGGGCATATATAGTGGCTGAAATATGTTACAGCATTACTACGTCTAAAGGTGTTCCAATACAAATATTTCGTATGTCAATATTTTTAATAGATGTAATATAATGATTGTTACAATACAAAGCTGAATAATATCATGTTTTGTTTGAAATAATTTCATTTTTGAGCAGTCGCATGTTGTGACGTGTGTGTGACGTTAAGGACACAAGTTCCCTCGCTTTTTTTTGCATACAAGTGATTCAGCTATTGTATTACAATAATTAGCAGTAATGGCTATGCGGCGATTTTTAAAACGTTTAAGGCGTCTACTTCTGCACTAAGTAGGACACTGGTTCATAATATTGTAGCGTGTTCAAGTAACCAAGGGATATAGTAGTTATCAAGTATAAGATGTGCACGGTTATAAGTTTTACAGATACAATGCACTGTTGTTGGGGGGAGAGACCGCTCCTTCCATATGAGTGTGTGTGTGTACGGCGTGCATGACAGGACGAGTTGTGTTCGTATGTGAAAAAGTCATACTCAGTGCGGTGAACGCTGGCTTTATTGCTACGCAATAGTTGGGACTGTGTACTGTGTAAAAAAGGTTTGCCCCCCCAAGCGCAAATGTCAAACTCCGCCTATCATGATGGGTTACAATAAAAGCTGTAAATTGCCTATATAATTGTTCTGTAAATTGATTATTATAAGCAAGAAATTATCTTTATGTGTAAAATCTTTGGACAGATAACACTTTTCAGAATTCTTCCCCAGTATAACATGTCTCTTGTCATCTCACTAATGATGCAGAGGTTATGAGTGGTGGTATACACGTATTTATTTGTTTCCTTCTTTTAATGATGACTTCTTATAAATATAATCCAGCCAGAAACATTAATATTAAGAATACATTAATGCAACAAACATAATCCAATAAAAATAATGTATATTATTTTGAAGTGGGCCACTCTGCATAATGAGTGTTATTTATTTACTATTAGGATTTGTCAAATATCGGAATACCTGAATTGAAATGTGTAATCCAAACTGCTTGTAAAAAGTGCCTGGTTTGTGAAGCTGAAAAAGCAAGATGTAACCGATTGTTAATAAACGTGAATTAAAATGCAATTTATTTTTCGATGCAGTAGTTTATCTTCAATATTCGGGCAGTGTCGTAAATAAAGCCTTTTTCCGCTGTTGCCATGGCGACAGAAAGTAAACACCGCCGCTGTTGGAGCAGTAGTGTTGTTACTGTCCGGTGTCCACACTCAAAATATGTCCGAAATGTCTGCTATGAACAGAAAGGTGATACAAACTCTGGCTGAAACGATATCAAAGCACGCGGAGCACTGTGAGTATGCGCTTCAAACTTAATTTGTGAATCTTCCGCTATTCTACAAGTTTTGCGGTTTTTACTTGACGTAGCCTACCAGCTACGATGAAGCTATAACTAAATGTAAGTTAATTGAGCAATTATGATCCCAGTCAATAAAACAGAAGTGGAGTTCCTCATCCGGGAGTTCAACGTGCTGCTGGGGGAGCAGACCGTCTCTGGAAGAGCAGTGCCCGGCCTGGACAGAGGGACGTTCAGGAGCATCCTGCACAACATCTTCGGGATGACCGACGACATGATCATGGATGGGGGTGATCTCTCTACTTCAGATGCATTTTAATGACAGATATTTTATATTAGGATAACCAGCAGCAATACACAAGCACCTACAATAGTGTTATATTGTCAGAGTTTATAGATTTTTCATCTTCACAGTCTACTGTATATTTTCTACTTTTTAATACTGTTTTAATTATATTTTGAGATGTTTCATTTATAGTATTCTTAATTTATACTCTTTCATTTCTACTTATGTGCAATGCCTTGTTTTTTTGCTGCTGCAATTAAAACATTTCCTAATTTGGGATCAATAAAGTACATCTTATCTTAATTGCTGAAATTGTTTTTCGGTTCCCCAGTTTTCAGGACATTTGACAAAGACAACGACAGCTTTGTTAGTATGAAAGAATGGGTTGAGGGACTGTCTGTATTCCTTCGAGGGACCTTGGAGGAACAAATCAAATGTAAGCTCTCAATCTTACTTTTAGCCTTTACATGTGAACAAATATATAAAACATATTCTACAAACTATTATCCAGGTAATAACTCTTTCCCTCTTTGCACGGCTCAGACTGCTTTCATGTGTATGACTTGAACGGCGACAACTATGTCTCCAGAGAGGAGATGTTCCACATGCTGAAGAACAGCCTCATTAGACAGCCCACAGAGGAGGACCCTGACGAAGGAATCAAAGATCTGGTGGAGATCACACTTAAGAAAATGGTGAGGCGATTATGCCGTTTGACTTTTTATTTACTTCTTCATAATGTTCTCTGCACCACCTCCTCAAACCCCTGAACATCAGATTTTAGTGTTTCAGCGGGAAATAAGCAAAAACATTTTTCCGTTGTGTACATACCTCACTGATTCATGGACACAACTTCAGAAAAGCACATTGTTGTTTATATTTGTAGGACTATGACCACGATGGTAGACTATCGTTTACTGACTTTGAAAAGTCAGTAAGAGAGGAGAATCTATTACTTGAGGCTTTTGGAACCTGCCTCCCTGACACTACGGTACGTTTAAATCAAAGACGGAAAAACTATAATAACTTATTACTTTTTACGACAGATATCTAATCCATTTCTTTTTCTGTTTTCAGAGTATTGAGTCATTTGAGCATCATGTGTTTCAGGAACAACTTGAACAATGAAGAGAAATTGCATTCATGTGCATTTTCAGATATCTAGTCTTTAATAAAAACGTAAATAGATTTTTCAGTGTGGTACAACATGTGAAAATAAAAACAAGCTGCCAAGAGAAAATGTTTGAATGGTGATTTTCCAAGGCAGTCATTTCTGCATACATTTCAGCATCAAGGCAGCTCTCTAAATCAAATCCGACGACGTGGTTTCACCTTTTTCTCCACTGGTTTGAGGTCAGGAACTGATTCCACCTGAGAAAGATCACAACAACAAAATTACTCAAATAAAAGGCATTAAATCTGCAGTGAAGTCTTCATTTTTTATTAAACGATGCTATGATCGGTTACCTTTTTTAATGTGTTCCTGATCAGGTTTGCAGTTGTGTTTAGTGACACATCCTCCATGTCCAGTTTAGGAGGTTCTGGTAGCTTTGGCCCAATAAGTGGCTCATTGTTTATAGTAACATCAGTCAGTGAGTGATCTGCCGCTTCTTCCATTCTGCGTTTCCTGTTCTCCAAGTGTGTGGTCCTGGGGACAAATCGGACTGCTGCAGGAGCCTGATTTAAGGTCAGTCTTTGTTCAGTGCCTCTGTCTTTGTCTAAAGATGCTTGGTAGGAGCTTGAACTCTGAGGTTCCAGGCGTTTTGTGTCAATGATGGCATTATGTAATGTCCCCATTTTGTCTTCTGTTGGTATAGTCCAATGTGGATTTCCATGCCTGTAGTAATGATATTCCTGGGGAGGAAATGGCAGTAGAGGAAAGCCTGAATAATGGCAGATGTTTGAAGAATTCCCTGTATTATCAGGAACAACGGTTTTCTCATATCTGGCAATGACTGTCTCTGATGTGGTGGCCTTTTCTGATGAAGTGGGTTTCTCGTTTACGGCCTCCTTCTGTTCTTTTTCTCTTGCTTTTAAAAAAACAAAACATAGAATCAGTCTTTACAACCACAAAGATCAAATGAAACCTCTATCATATGAAAAATCTGGCTTATTTCATTCAGTAGATGGTAGATGAATATACAATATAGTACATACATATTGTTTTTACTCTAAAAGAATAAGTCTGTATTTTATGAAAAGTGTACCTTTATTCCGAACAGCCCTGATTATATATCTCCTCCTGTCCTGCAACTTTAGCCTGGTGTCTTCCACAGTCTCATACTCTGGGACGTAGCACACATGCAGCAGACCACCGTAAAAACTCTTCTCATCCATGCGTCGTTTTGCTGCTCTGAAACCCAAAGTTAATTTATTTAGCAAGTCTTTTCAACTGATCCAGCATTATGAACAATGTTGTGTGTTACACCCTGTACCTGGCGCTGGTGAGTTTCTGGAACTTGACCAGGTAGACCTCTGTGAACTCCTCAGCAGGGTACTCGTCCAGGGGCCTGTACTCCTCCACAGCCCCGTACAGAGCACACAGCTGGATCAGCTCTGTCATCACTCCTATGGCTGGGACCCCTTGGATCATCAGGTAATTGGACTCTAAATTGATGGTGTATACCTGATGATGCATACAACAAATAGGATTACACATGCTCTATAATGTATCGGCCACACACTGATATTATACGTAGCTCTGACCCACTTTTCTTACTTATATTTAGCATATTCTTACCTTAACAGCTCTGTCTCTCCTCCCATCTCTATATTTAGGTCGAGAAATGCATATTTTCTTCTGTTCATGGTGTTTATAGACATCTGGGACCCCCCAACAACTTGAATTGTTATTGCGAGGCGCCGCCATGTTTCTAGAGATAACTTTCCGGTTGGTGCCCTTCAAAATAAGAGTTCATTGCTTTTGCATCGATTGCGTTTCCATGTGTAATATCTTATTTTGAAACGTGATTCAGATTGATTTCAGCTGCTTTGGTCTAGCTTCGGAACACACAGAGCACATCGATCGGCTGTGAGTTTGTTGCACATTTAACGCTAGCAAAGTAAACTGTCGTGGATTTGCAGAGCTAACGTTAGTCAGGCGATGTGAAAATAATGTTTACTAGTCAGGGCATTCAACCCGTAACTGTTGTATTTAGCAACACAAAAAACTGCTTTCTTCATATCTCTTCGAAGTTAATATCTCATCTTTCCTTGAACGAGGTAAGTTAGCTTAGCCAGCTATCCCACTGTCAGTGTCAACTATAATAATCATTATGGAAGTTTAGATTTGTGACTTTTAAAGCAAGAAATATATGTCAGTTTTTAAAAATAGGGTTTCATGCGTTTGTTGAAGTATGTTGGTTTTCTTCCTGATCATTGTACATGATTTGTGTTGCTGTCAAAGTTGCCTCCAAATGTTTACATTACCAAATGACTCAAGGCCAGCCCCATCATGTCAACTTGCTCACTAGCACAAGGGTTTATTGTAAAACATGGCATCCTCTGCAAAAACAATTCCTGAGAGACTTACCTAGGGTTGGCTATACAGTTACCTATATGTAATTCGCTTTGGATAAAAGCGTCTAACAAGTAACATGTAATGTAATGTATCCTGACTTCAACATAAGGAACGAAGAAGAAAGAGTTGACTGTCAGCAGAAGCGATGAGACTCCATGTGGTTTCTCATTAGGTTTAATGACAATGCATCCAATATCGACTCATAACAAACATCAGTAAACATACATGAAACATTGTCTTTATATATAAAGTATTCGTCACTATTCCATGTTGGTTTTACCATTTTAGTAGTAGTTCCCTTTAAGTCTCACTTGGTGGGGACAAAACTTAATATTTTAAATGAAACCGGAGAGTGCCAGTGCATTTGTCTACATCCTGTTTCACTGTGGCCAATTTGCAACATTATAAATCCACATGAAAAATAACATATTTCAGATTTTTCTGTGTGATTCAAGGTGAAGTTGGTGTTGAGAATAATTGGTTTGACCCACCTCTTCTTCAGTTAGGAATACAACTTGAGAAAGCTCCATCCTCGAGGCTGTAAAATGTCTTAAATAATCAAAAAAGGAAAATAATGACGATTATGCTGCAGAAATGATGTGCATTGCCATTATTCCCATGTAGTGTTCCATGCAATCAAACATGTCCTATCAACTCTCTGCGTTTGTGTTCAGAACCAGGCTTTGGAGCTGTCCTGGGGCCATGGATCCCCAGTATTTCTCAGCTGGACTCAAAACAGATCCTCCTCCAGCCTGAACAGCCATAAAGTGGAGCTATGTCGACAACTGGGAGAAAAACTTGGCCTGAAGGATGGAGAGCAGGTACAGCTGTGCTCTGTTTCACACAGAATATTCTATGATTGACATGACGCATGCTGGCAGCCTTTTGACAGTTTAAAGGAAGTGTCAGTTGATGTATGGCTGAGTATGTGTTTGTATTGACCGACTGTTGTGTGGT